AGCACCGTTTTTGTAGTTGCTGTTTCCATCTGCAGAACCACACAACAGACCAATCTGGTTTCTAAAAGTAAGCTGTGTTAGGAGGATATAAATAATACATTAGAATTACTACTAGATTAATCTTTCTGGATTTAAATCTGTTAATCCATGGAATATATCCATATTTAGAATGGTGTTAACCACTGTGTGGATGTCTGTCTTATGGATTCCTTTTGTTCTGAAAGTAGCCCAACCCTTTAGTTTAAGTATAAATGTAGCATTGACTAGTGCAAGGAAACTTTTTTAATACAAATATGTGAGTAGTACTGAATTTTTGGGATGTATGCTGAAAAGTACAGTATGTGGCCCACCACAGTGGGTAACAGAATGTTATGAGGATCTCCTGGGCTTAACTTGATCCACTATTAGTGAACTATAATCTTACTTTACAATGGAGAGATGCAGCAGAACCATCTCAAGTTCAAGAGTGAGACCACTTAGCCTAAGAAAGTAAATACAGGGGGTTTTTTTGTGACTGTCTCTTGTCATGTACCCACTACGTTAGATAGGCTTGCAGCTGGGAGGTTGGAAGAACAAAGGGTAGTGGAGTTGGAGTGCAAATGCACCTACTTTCCCTTCTCCTGCTGTTCTTTGTCTTGAAGCTGGATTAGAGAGAAGAAAAAGGAGTGGGGGGGAAACAGATCAGACTTTCTGGAGGCTATGACTTCTTACACACACAAATGCAATTTAAGTGGAAAACAGAGTGGTGAGTGTCAACTCACACATATTTGGATGTTGAATTAAGAGATCAGGACTTCTGGGTGTATATGAAACACACAAGATGGATAGCATCTTTTATTTGTTTGGCTCTATGTTTTTACTTTTAAGAAAGAAGTAAGGTAAGACATTAGTAGAAAACAAAGTGCTGCCATTTCCATCATTTGCCAAAGAACTTCATCTATTTTTTTTCCCTTTGATCTAAGGAATTGTTTTAAGGACCCATCTCCCAAAGTTAGTGTAGAGCAATAATGTTTAAATTCTTTGTATTTCTGAATTTTTTGTGGTTAGTGTCAAATTTATTCAGAAAAACCCAGTTTAAATTTTGTTTCAACAGAAAATTGTGCTGAAGTGCAAACTTTTTATCAATATTAATAGCTCACCTTTCCTGATTTAGAGCCTGTTGGTGCGAGATGCGTCTTTTATGAGACATTCTAGAAGCTCCTAGGAGTTCAAGATACCTGCTAGTTTATGGGGTAGTCCTTTAGAAAAGCTTACCAATGAAACTAGATTTTTGTCATAACAAATAACAAAACAAAATAACAAAATTAAAAGAAGGTATGAATTATGTGTCTGTCTGCAGGGTTCCTACTAGTGACTTTGTATAGACTCTCTGAACAGACTTTGTATAGACTCTGAGAATGGTGGATGAGCACAGTGTATTTGTGACTGAATCAGAACTTTTCAGGAATTATGTTTTGCTTTTACCAAATGTGAACATCAAGGAAATGTATATGACTCACCGTGTCAGTGATATGCTATTGCAACTTAGTTTTATGAATTATATTCTGGGCAATTTGCACAGTTCTTTGTTAAAAATACTGACATAGTCAGAACCATTTGGCAGTGACAAAATATACCAGTATCTGATTACCTTTTCTGTTTAAATGATAGTGTGAGTAGGCAATATAGGTGGTGGTTTTGTGTGAGTGAAAAGGCATCCCCATACAGTTCTGGTGAGAACTGTCTACTTCTCTTGTCTCATCTGACTTCACAGTGCCCTGATTCAAAGAAGAAAAAAAGAGCAAAACTAAATACTTCTCTGTTGCTTTTTTCTGCCGCATCAGGTCAGTAGTTTACTGTAGCCAGGATAACAGTATAGCTGAAACTGTGTGATTGGAGGTAAACAGATGTTAGCTAAGAGATCAGCTGGGGTATAACATGGAACATGGCTTTATACTTAAAATTTTTGCTAACTATTCATTTGTTCCATAGTCTAGCAATCCTGCTAGAAAATGTTCTTATGTTAGACTTTTGGTTGTTTACAGTCAGACTGTTTCCTATCAGCAAATTATCTTCACTTGATGGATGTTTCTTATGATGGCTATGAAAATGTAATGGCTCTAGGTGGAAATGTATGAGATGTTACCAAGAACTGATTTGCTACAGATAGAATTAAGTTGAGGGCTAGAGAATAATCACCATGTATTGACAACCTAATTTCATAATGTGAATATAAAAAGTGATCCAGCTTTTATCTCCATAAATTTTGAAGATAGACTTTTGTATCTGCTTTTTGAGCTTTTGTAGCCGTACATATTTAATGTGTGTAATAATCCATACTTAAATTATTAGTTATTCTAACTAAGAAACTAAAATATCTAATTTGAGGTGGAGTCAGAGGGCCCACATTTTAATTTCCACTCAGTAATGCAAGAACAGTGAAATGAGCATCCTACCTAGTAGTTGTGCCTAGGTGATCTGCATGCTGATGACATTGGATAACCAAAATCTGAAAATGTGCTCAAAGATTGAGCTCAAAGTTGATTCTAGGAAAGAGTTTTTTACTTTCATGTTTCACTCCTTGCTTTTGTACTAAATTTGGCCAGAGTGGACCTGACAGTACATCATAAGCATATTAACTACAGAATTAACTACTCTCTACAAGTATTGTTGAAACTGAACCAAAATGTTGGAAGTTATTATATTTTTATCATTTGACAGCAGAAAAATTGTCCAGCCATATTTTAGAGAACTTAAATGGCCTAAGAGTCCAGTGGCATTTTAATTTTATCTCTGTAAAAAATTTTTAATGTCATGTCTAAATTTCTGAAAATTAAAAATACACTCTCAAAAAGAGAATGTGTTCTATGGATCATCATAGAATCATAGAATGCTTGGGCTTGGAAGAGACCTTAAAGTTGATTTTGAAAAGATTGCTCTCAGTAGCAGTAGCCATCATCACAGATTATTTGCAGCCTATACATTATATTACTTCTTGAGGTACATGAGGTTGCTTTTGTTAGTGAAAAATTGGAAGGAAGAACATCACATACTGGAAGGACAGGAATGACGTTAAATGTAGAACTGTACCAGTGTATAGTGTACAGTCACACTAAATACACAATGATGGTGTCTAAGAGCATAAAACCTGTAAGAGTTCCCCATAAAAACTGCAATACCATTTGTTTTAAATATTGCTAAATCCATACTAAACCATTTGATTTATAAGCAACATTTTGTTTAATAGCTTTTCTGTAGAAGTAACTTGCAGCATTGACAATGAAAGCTTTAGGGGTATTCTAGCATCTTTATTTGTTTCAGAGAATTTCAAAAGTGTTAGATGCTTTTTCAGTGTAGATGAATAATCCCTGCCTCAAGGGCATGGATTTTACTTTCAGCAATTATTCAGTGGGAGAGAACCACCAGATAGAATGGTGAAGATCGGATGAAATAAAATAAAAATCAAGTGCTCAAAAATACTCTGTGTATGGAGAAGCATATGATGACCTGATTTAATTAACAAAATTAGGAATAAATAGCGTATACGTTACTCACTGTCTCTGAAATAGGTACTATGGAGGCCAATGGTTAGATAGTTTAGGGAGGTTACAGTGGGAGAAAAAGTTTATAGAGATTTGTGTTTGACAAGTAACATGCTAAGATGAGGCTGGAAACACTGGCAGACCAGGGACTGTGAGATAAGACCAAGAGGTACCCTAATTCAAATTTAATTTTTAATTAATGCAAAACTAAGCATGTCATGTTTTCCAGGCAGTTTTTTCTATGAGAGTACTAAGTACAGCGTAGGTACTTCATCTGGAGCACTAGGAATCATGGGGTGTTTTAGGAGATGAAAATTATGAAAGACACAGATATCAGAGTGGTTTTGTTTTCTTGCATGACCATGTTACCCAATTGCAAGAATTTTCTGTTGTATATAAATACATAGGTATATAAATATGTAAGCGTATGCCTGGTGCAAACCAAAATTATCTCTGATTTGAAAGATCATAATTTTATGTGGTAGTGTTTCTCTCAGCTGCATTAAAAGGTGCTGTATTGGTTGTTTTAATATGGAACAGTACGAATTATTAATTTAGTTTAATTTGGCAGGTAAACTAGTTTTTAATTGATTATGCTATAAATGATGATACATGCTTTCACAAAGCTGTTACCTACATTTGAAATATATCAGTGAATATCTAATGTTGAGTATGCATAAATTAGTATGCTCAAAACCAAAGTATAATCTGAAACTAAATACTATCAGAAGTGCTTAAGAGGCCCTAGTTCAGGTAATAGATATCAAGTTTTAAGAGATGAGTTGTTTGCTGGCTAACTTTTGCAAATCACTTTGGAATAAGTAATTTTATTTGAAGCTTTAATTTTCATATAACCTTTGTCAGGTGGGTTCAATGGATTCACACTTAACACTAGCTATCTATAAGAACAGTTTCTCATGATAACATACATTTGTTTTGCTACACTGAAAACTGAGGCTAAAATAGGTATACTCTGGGAGAGCAGAGGTAATTACTGTATTCCCAAAAGATTTTTCCTGGATTTTTAAAATAAAATAATTTATGTATGCCTCTTTGTTCCTGACAAGATACAGTCTTTGAAAGAATAATTAATAACTTACTTAGTAATATCTGCTCTCTACCTTAAGGGCTGTGATGGGCTTCCCAGCCAGCAGCCAAACACCCACCCAGCCTCTTACTCTGTCCTCTCTCTTGCAGGTTTGGAGGGGAAATAGAAGAAGGTGAGAACATTCTTGGGTCAAGAGAGTTTAACAGGGAAGGTAAAAGCTCTGTGTGCAAGCAGAGCAAAAAGAGGGCTTTATTTTCTCCTCTCTATCAGCAGATGTCCAACCACTTCCTGGGAAGCAGAACCTAAGCACATGTTGCTTGCGCAGAGAAATGTTGTCATCACAGACATCCACCCTTCCTCTTCACCTCCCTGAGGATCTATTGCTGAGTGCTGTGGTATGGATCACCTGCCTTGACTCTATCAACTCCCAGCCTCAAGCCCAGCCCCAGCCTATGTGGAGTAGGAAAGAAAGCATTTGAGGGAAGGAAGTACTGTTCAGCAATAACCAAAACACTGGTGTGTTATCAGCACTGTTTTGACAATAAATACAAAACAAAGCCATATGTCTTTGCCATGTATCTTCATACGTAGTATGAAATTTTTTTATTGCTGTCATTGGTAATAGTTTTATAACACACCTTCCTGATTTTTGTCTGCATTTTCTCCCCAGCAGCCTCTCCAGTTCCCATCTGAGTCTGTTTCCTTGCCATTTCATACCCTGTGTATCCACTAAGTAATCCGTTGTTAAGTGACTAAAGTTGACACTGATGTACTTGATAGTTAAGACTGCACTCAGGCTTAAGCAGGACACAGTTCACTTCACTGAGTTTTTCTTTTTGGTTGTCTCTATCAGTAAAACTTTATTAATTTTGAAGATTTATCTGCAGAATGGGTACTAAGACTTCTTTTTAGTAACAAAATACTGGGTGCTACAAGATTTGAATTTGTCATGTGCACTTTAAGAATTTGTGCTAGTTGTACGCTTCACAAAGACTTTATGTTACATCTTGTGCTTGAGGGCTTTAACTTGCGTCCTCTAAGATCCGAAATGAAGTCCTAGCCTCCCATTGAGTGCACTCTGTAAGTCATAAAACAGAAAGTTTCTAGGCAAACAAGTTTCATTCTTTTTGAGATAGGCAGGTCTTTGAAGAGTGTAAAAGTGAGCTTTGCTGCTCCAAAGATGCCCTGCTTTTGCTTGAAGAACTGGCATAAATAAAACATCTAAAAATGCTCACAGTTTATCAGCTACAAACTCACATTAAGGAGGCAACCAACCCAGCACAAAAAAATTAAATGGCATGGGTTTCCTTTATGTGCTTCACTGTATTGAGTCTTTTGTCTTTGCCTGTTATATTTCCTCATTAGAAAAGAGTTTTTCTATTCTGCTAAACTAGGACATAGGATGCTGCCCACATTAAGGAGATCAAAATTAGTAGCTAACTTTGGAAAGTTTCCAAGACCTCACTTGAGAGTTCTGGGATTATGAGGGATGCTCTTGTGTGAGATCTGTTCTCTACTGAAGTCTAGTAGGATTATTTTAATAGGTTTTACAATTTTTCCCTCACTATTACACTGAATAATAAGTAGGAAATAGCGTCTTTTCCTCCTGTTAGCATAGACAATTAAAAATAAAACCATCTTTAACTGACATATTAATAGCAGTGGGGAATGTTATAAATCTGTTGAATTTTTCAAAAAGAGGATATATATTCTGATATCAAACTAGAATACAGTACTTATGTACTCTTCACATAAAAATATTGTTAAGTTGTGTGTTTCAGTTTTCTTTTTATTTTTACAAATTTCCAAACTGTTTTATATCTTCTTAATATCTGTCTTCCAAACATCCTGTCCTATTTTCAAGATGTCAGCAGTGAAATTTTTGAGATGCCTTGTCAACCAATGATTAATTACTTTGTATGTTGGCTATCACAGTTAGATCCAAGTATTCGTTATGTCGTATATTTAGGTTGGGTCAAATACATGAAGTATAGGGCACTGTATTCACTTTAGTAAATCAGTATCTTAAGCATTTTAATGAATGTGTAATGAATTTATATAGTAGTTTGTTGCAGTTTGGAGGGGTAACTGGAGGGTCACTCCCGACCGCTCTGTGAAGGTTTCCAGGGCTGAGATCACCCCCCCGCCACCCGTCCCTCGTGGCAGGGACAGGCGGCGGAGGCACCTATGCCAGGAGACAGAGACCACACAGAACGCAGGGAGTCCAGCAGTGAAGAGAGCGAGAGAGATTTATTGATGTAACAATGGCTTAAGTACCTTTTGGAGGGATCACAGGGTGACCAGTGAGAGTACAGGACATCTTACAAAGAACCAATGATGACAAGGGGTTAACAACCAATAGATGAGTTTCTAGTTATCTCTCAGACATTCCACAGGTACAGTGAGGGGTTTATGGGAACAAGAAGGGTTACACAAAGGTTTAAAATCACAATCTTGGACACGTGGTCAATTTAACAATATTACAAGCTCCTGCATTCTTTTTATGTAGCAGAGTTACTCCAACAGTAGTTTGTTGTTCAAGAAGTTAAACTTTTTAAATAAGGTTTATGAGTGCTAAGATAAATCCAAAGGTTCAGATTCATTTTAGACGTGAGAGGATGATCATGTTTAAAGTGGATTTTTTTTCTGGACTATTTTCTGAAAAAAATTTAACCCTTAAATAAAAGGGTTGCCTTCATCTAAGGATCACAAATCATATTTCATGGTAACATTGTCAAAAGATAAGTTACTGCTAAGATTCAGTTTTCTGTTGGTGAATGTATTGCACCAACATTAGTAGGCAGAGACAGGTGAAATAGATGTTCAGCTTGATTTTTCTATTACAGCTTCCTGAAATTCCAAAGAAAAGTTTAAACACTGATTTTTTTTTTTTTTTCTGGGAGGGTGGATTTTCATATTCTGTTTCTGAGAGGATTTGTGAGATATTTCCTTAGAATAAAAATCTGCAGTATTAAACTGTAGCAGAGAAAAATAATTGAAATATCCAGAGGCCATTATTTATACCCCTCAAGGTTTTCATAGGAAGGTTCATGAGAAATGTTGCCACCCTAAAATTTAAAACAGCCTCACCATCTTCATAAATAACTTCTGGGGAAAATGAAGCACAGTGCAATATCCTGCTTATACAACACAGAAAATTCACGTCTTGCATAAAATAAAGTTTGAATGTTTTAATACCTGTTCAGGGATTGTAGTGTGCTCTGTGTGAAATGAAATATTTATGGAAATGTATATGAAATTACTAATGATTACTGAAAGATGCATGCATGCATACAAAATTTTCTACTTATAATATGAAATTAAAAATTAGCAATCATTTATTTCTGTTCTGTTTATCAGACAGATAAGATTTGGATAACAGTAGTTTAATGAAGTATCTGTAAAGATACTATCAGAATACTGACAGCTGACCCCTTTGAATACATCCATGTTCAGTACTGAAGCATCGAACAGTTACATTTGAGGAAAAAAAACTTTTACAGAATTTGGTTGACTTTGGATATGACTGAATAAAATACCAAATAAAGAATGTAGTGCTTATTGCTGATAGCTGCCAGTAAAGAACCATAGTTTATAATGAAATTTCTGATAAATTTTCAATAAAGTGTCATAAAGAAAAAGACTTAAGAAGAGACTGGTTAATAAAATTGAGCATCCAGATATTATTTGTCAGGAAAAATAATACACAGAACACTTGGACTGCATTTTGTCACTGGTCCACCTGGATCATATTTTTAAACAGCGCAGGTCCAGATTTCAATGCCAGTCTCCAAAGAATCCATGAAAAGAATGAAAAACAGGGACTATTTTTTCTATTGGTGAATGAAGATATCTGAAACACATTTGGATCTTGGTTCATTGTTTTAATTTTGCATTACAAGGTCTACTTTCTCCTTCAAGAAAAACAAGGACTGGTTTGATGAAAACAATCATGAGATCCAGGAATTGTTGAGTAAGAAGAGAACTGCTCACCAAGCCCACCTTGCTCAGCTGTCTTGTCCTATAAGAAAAGCAGCCTTTCAGCTCGCATGCAGAAAGCTACAACAGAAACTTCGTAACATCCAGAACAAGTGGTGGACCAATCTAGCGGAAAAAATCCAATTATGTGCAGATACAGGTGACTACAGGGGATTCTATGAGGCTCTGAAAACAGCTTACAGTCCTATACACCAGATGGCCAAATGCTTCTCACAGATAAAGTTTCCATTTTGAATCGATGGTCTGAACACTTTCAGACTCTCTTCAGTACTAGCCGTGTAGTTCAAGACTCAGCATTGCAGTGCATTTCACAACAACCCGTGAAAACTGAACTGGATACTGCCCCCACCATGGGAGAAACTCTTAAAGCAATACAGCAGGTGAAAATTGGCAAGGCAGCTGGGGTTGACGGAATCCCACCTGAAATCTGGAAGCACGGTGGCCAAGCACTCTGTGCTAAGTTTCACGAATTTGTGGTGCACTGTTGGGAACGAGGTGAACTGCCTGTTCAGACCTTCGTGACGCTGTCATCATCACCTTGTGCAAGAGGAAAGGAGATAAATCAGACTGCTTAAATTACCAAGGTATTACTCTGCTCTCCATTGCTGGTAAAATCCTTGCAAGAATTCTTTTGAACAGATTAATACCCACCATAGCAGAAGATCTTCTACCTGAAAGCCAGTGTGGTTTCCGAGCCAACAGAGGTACCACAGACATGATATTTGTTCTCAGACAACTGCAAGAGAAGTGTAGGGAACAGAACAAAGGACTCTGTGTTACCTTTGTTGATCTCACCAAGGCTTTTGATACTGTGAGCAGAAAAGGTCTGTGGCAGATTTTGGAACGTTTAGGATGTCCTCCCAAGTTCCTCAAAATGATCATCTCGCTTCATGAGGACCAGTGTGGTCAAGTCAGATATGGTGATGCACTTTCTGAGCCCTTTCCAATAGCCAATGGTGTGAAGCAAGGCTGCGTTCTCGCACCAACTTTATTCACAATCTTCTTCAACATGATGCTCCAAAGGGCCACGGCAGACCTTGATGAAGAAAACCGTATCTACATCTGATATCGTACCGATGGGAGCCTTTTCAACCTAAGGCGACTGAAGGCCCACACTAAGACCTTAAATCATCTTGTCCATGAGCTGCTTTAGGCTGATGATGTTGCCCTCGTCGCCCACACAGAAGCAGCTCTGCAGCATTTAACATCCTGCTTTGCAGAGGCTGCTGAGCTTTTTGGACTGGAAGTCAGCTTGAAGAAGACAGAAGTTTTCTATCAGCCTGCACCTCAGGAAGCCTCCCATCATCCCCATATCACCATCGGTGAAACAGAGCTCAAATCAGTCCAACAGTTTAATTACCTGGGAAGCATCATCTCCTCAGATGGTAAGATTGATGCAGAAATAGACAACAGGTTAGCTAAGGCATACAGAGCTTTCAGTAAACTCCATAAAAGAGTTTGGCAAAACAAACACCTGAAGAAAAGTACAAAGATCAGCATTTACAGAGCCGTTGTAC